AAGTATGTTGACTGGACTTAATGAAATCCACATAGAGGGTCTCAAATGCATTAAGGTACAGCTGTGATTAATAGCAAGAACAACTAAGTAAATTACAATTTTGAGAATCCGTTCAAATTATATTTCCCATTTTCATTTTCTAGTTATGACATTCAGGCCTTAGTTGATAAGACCTTATTAGCTCAGAGCACAGGTGCAGATGTTTTGATTTTCAGGCAGGCCTTGCCTCATCTGTCTCACATTTTCAACCCTTTTTTTCTCTCTACCGCACTGTGCTCCCTCGCAGCATAATACATTTGTGGCACGTCAGCAGTTATCAAAAACACGTCTTCCATCAATTCTCTGATAACTTTCAGATCCTTTCCACATATAATCGATCTACACTTTCATCCATATTTACTCAAAAGGTATTTTGTGAGTTCTTTTTTCCCCCATACATAGATACCACTCATTTATCCAAGCAACGATTTAAGCAGACAACATCCAACACAACAAACAACAACAGCAACAAGATAACCAGAACAATGTTTCTATTCAAGGCAAATTTCACAACCATGGACTGTCACGTTTCGGTGTTGGCAGGACCCAAAATGCAGGAACCCAAGATGACACGAGGCAGGAGATGATATAAAGTAAAATCCTTTTATTAGGATGAATGAAACAAAAATATATCCAAATGGGCTGGAGCCAAAAAACCAATATATCCAAAAGAGCTGAGCAGGAGATCAAAACACTCAAGACTAAGAGACACTGGAAGCCAGGAGAACACTAGAGACAACACGAGAAGACTGACAGAATTACCACAATGGACCAACACCAAACAGAGACAAGACAGGGCTTAAATACACAGGGAGAACAATTAAGGAAACAGGAAGCAGGTGTGTGGAGTGAGGGCTGGAGGGACGGCAGGTGACACAAATGATCTAAATGGGGGAAACAGAACCAATGGAGGGCAGATAAATCTAAACATAAAACTAAACCCAAGACTGAGGGAAGGACTCACACAAACACAAACACATTCTGATACACATAAACTCACACACACTAACACACACATACACTAAGCTGGGGAACAAGAGGCTGGAGCTACAACTGGTGGGGCAGAGGATAAATAAATGAACACCGGTCCTGAGGGAATGATAAGAAGGCCTACAAACAGAAGACACATAATAGAGACGCAGACAAAGGACACATGAGGGCGCTATGAGACACAGAAGGGAATCTAGAGAGGATGGAGAAACATCAGGAGACACATGAAGGAAGGGGCAGACGCAGACCATGACATGGACCTACTCAACAGTCAAACTCAATAGTTATCATAGCGGTTTACAAAACCATCCTATTCACAGCGGACGACAACATCTATTTTTTACACCAGAGTTGCATTTCTAATTTCAGCTAAAATGCAGAAAAACCAAGCCAATACAGACAGGATTCAAATAATCTGTCAACACAGCATTCGAGGAACCTGTCAAAACCATCCTATTCTCGGCAGACAACACCACTTTATTCTCTGGACACCTAGGATTTTCTCTCAGTACCACAAGACAAAGTGACAAAAAACAACAACAAACTTGTCTCACTGAATCTCTCTCCACTCAGGGCTTGAGTAGTTCATGGATTGAAAATGTAGGGAGTAAAAGTAAAAAGTTGTCAGAAAAAAACCTCAAGTAAAGTACAGACACCTAAAAGACTACTTAAGTACAGTAACAAATACAAAGTATTTGTACTTTGTTACTTCCCCCCTCTGGTGTACAGAAACATCTTTGCAAAGTATGGACTGCAAGCTCCAAGGTCAAAGTGGGAAATACCCTCTAAGGTGGTTGATAACAAGAGAGCCAAGCTCCTAAGGCGACCCTTGCAACGGGGCCTAGCTCAAACTTGCTACACCACTGATGGCACCCTAAACCATCACTGTCTGTGGAAACTTTACACTGGACCTCAAGCAACGTGAATTCTGTGCATCTCCTCTCTTTCTCCAAACTCTGGGACCTTGATTTCCAAAGGAAACGCAAAATTTACTTTTATCAGAAGTTCTGTCCTTTTTGTCTTTAGCCCAGATGAGATGCTTCTAACGCTCTTGTTCAAGAGTGGCTTGACACAAGGAATGTAACAGCTGAAACCCACCGTGTCTTGCATACGTCTGTGTCGTGGTGGTTCTTGAAGCACTGACTCCAGCTGCAGTCCACTCTTTTTGAATCTCCCCCACATTTTCCAATCCAATGCAATCCAATCCAATTTTATTTATACAGTATAGCGCATTTAAAAACAGCATGTCAGCTGACCAAAGCACTGCACAGAGTTAAACCTAAAAAGCCTTTCAAATTCACATACATACACATCAAACACAGATAAAAGCTGTCATAAAATAGAAACACCTAAAATTAGAACAAAAGTTTAAAACAGCCAATAAAAGAGAAGTCAATAAAAACAGAAGTCAGTAAAAACAGAAGAGAGTCACAGCATAAAAGACCGATCATTGACCAAAAGCCAAATAAAAAAAATGTGTCTTTAGGCTGGATTTAAACTGTGCCAGTGAAGAAGCCTGGCGTACCACCAGAGGGAGTGTGTTCCAGAGTCTGGGAGCTGCAAAGGCGAACGCACGCTCCCCACGAGCTTTATACTTCACTGTAGGGACTTTGAGCATTAGGTGATCAGCAGACCTTAGTGGCCGGGGGGGGGGGGGGGGGGGGGGGGGGGTATGTAGGGGGTGAGCAGCTCTGAGAGGTATAAGGGGGCTAGACCATTCAGTAAAAGTAAGTAAAAGTTAGAACTTTGTGTTGAATTTGAAATTACACAGGAATCCAGGGCAGATCCGCCAGAATGGGAGTGATTTGGCAGCGTTTATTTGTATTGGAGAGAAATCTGGCTGCAGCATTCTGGACTTTCTGCAGACAATTTAGGACAGATACATTTACACCAATTAGAACAGAGTTGGAAAAGTCGAGTCTGGAAGTGATAAATGCATGAATCACTGATTCTAAGTGTGGCCTCTTAAGAATGGAGTCGGGCAAGGCGACAAAGCTGGAAGAAGCAGGATCGAACAGTGGCATTAACATGTGCACTCATTGATAAGTCAACATCCAGTTTAACCCCAAGGCTGGTCACACATGAAGTAAGGTTTAGGGTGGAGAGATCAAAGGCAGCAGAAGTATGCAGATTATGTTTTAGTTTGAATAGAATGGTCTCGGTCTTATTGTCATTGAACTTCAGGAAATTGGAAGCTAGCCAGGTTTTAATTTCTGAGAGACATTCTGAGAGCTGAGTAATGGAACTTGACTGATTTAAAGCCATACAAATTTGACAGTCATCAGCGTAAATGTGATAATGTAGGCCCCGTTTAGCAATTATGTTTCCCAGTGGAAGAACATATATAGAAAAGAGGAGTGGACCTAGAATAGAGCCCTGGGGAACTCCCCAGGGGAGTGGGACAAAAGCATAAGAGCAATCGCCTATGTGGATGCTGAAGCTCCTGTCAGACAGATAGGAGTGAAACCAATTTAGCGCAGTCCCTTTGACTCCAACAAAAGATTCCAGCCTAGTTAACAGAATGTTATGGTCAACTGTATCGAATGCCGCTGATAGGTCTAGCAGTAGTAACAGAACAAAGGAACCAGCGTCACTTTCTGTCAGAATGTCATTTAACACACGAATATGTGCAGACTCGGTGCTAGGATTTGGCCTAAAAGCAGACTGAAAATGGTTGAGTACTGAATGTTCCAGTAAATGATGTGAGAGTTGAGCATGTACCACTTTTTCAATAACCTTAGTTTGACTATCCTCTCCAGGATGCAGGTATCCCTACTGCTTGTACACGTTTTCTACCATCTTGTCCCTTCTTCACCTCTCTATTAAGGAGCTTGGACACAGAGCTCTGTGAACAGCCAGCCTCTTTAACAATGACCTGTTGTGTCTTGCCCTCTTTATGCAAGGCGTCAGTGGTCGTCTTTTAGAGAACTTCCCCGTGATTGTGTACGAACTATAGACTGAGAGATCATACAGAGGCTTTCACAGGTGTTTTGATTTGATTGGCTGATTAGTGATGTGTCGGTCGCGAATGAACCGGCTCTAAGAGCCGGCTCTTTGAAGTGAACGACGGGAGCCAGCTCGTCATTGGGAGCCGCCCCCCCTCCCCCCCTGCCTTGGTGAAAGCTACAGGCGATTGGTCAACATGTGTAACTGCGTGTCCAGATTGTCCACACACAGAGCAGTAGGGGTGGGGAAGAGGGAGGATCATACTCAGACAGACACACAGCAGAGCACATGCGGGTGGAGGGAGACGAGAGGGAATCAGGAGCAGGAAAAAGGCGAGCGAGAGGGAGGAGAGCGCGACGAAGACGGTGAGAAAATGAGCGCCAGCAGTCGGAAAATTGATATTTCTTAAAGTGTTCAGTTATTAAATCCATAGAATGATAAATATTTGATATATTGCTTTTTTTACATTAGTAAATTATTTTACATATAGTTTAGCATTATTTTGGTCATAAATGTATTCTACGCAACAGAAAATCTGAGGAGCCACTTGGGAGCTGAAAGAGCCGGCTCTTTTTGGTGAGCTGAGCCAAAAGAATCGGCTCTCTAAAAAGAGCCGTAATTCCCATCACTATGGCTGATTATTGTGGCACCAGGGGTCTTCACTATAGAACTTTTTCACAATATTCTAATGTTCTGACTGAGATACAGAATTTGGGATTCTCACTAGTTCAGTTACAATCATCAAAATCAGAAGAAATAAACATTTGAAATATATTATAAAAGTTTCACTTTTTAAATGGAATAACTGAAATAAATGTATTTTATCATGAGATTCTAATTTTAGGACGCGCATGTGAGGGTGAACTCTAAAAACAGGATGAGAGCAGTAAAAGCGGTAATCAGAGTAAATACAGCTTTATTTTATAAACCCCATTAAAGTCGAGCTCCTGTGGAGCCGCTGCAGGTCTCTACTCGAGGCTACAGAGTTCGGCTTGGCGCGGGTCCAGTCCGGAAGTAGTTCTGCGTAGCTGGAGGCTAGGGGCCGGTTCCAGATCCAACACCGAGCCGGGTTTTATTAGGAAGCGAGGTCCCGAAGCGGCAGGAAACGGCGACTGTAATCGGAAACACGTTTTAGGAGCTCTCGTGACGTCACGGACCCTCCAAATTACCAAATAAGGAGAACGACACAAAAAGTTTAGTTTAGAGTGGACTCGGCACATCTGGACCAGGAGCGGCGTTTCGGACTCGAACGCCTCCGAACCCAACCCGGCTCGGCCCGTTAGCACGTCCGTAGCAGATTGTGTCGGTTCTGTTGAGTAGAAGGAGGAAGCGGTTCCGCCCAAAATCTGCCCCAGGCTCCGGAACCACAGCAGAACTCGACGGAACGAGAAGGCGCTTTTCCAGTGAATTTACCGGGCCAGCAGGGAGGGAAAGTCCGGTGGGACCGTTTCAGAACATGAGTTCAGAACCGCGGAGATAAAACCAGCCAAGCCTGTCTACTTGGGTTCACGGTACCGGGTGGACTTTACTTGGACTCTTTCTCAGTTCGGCCTTCAGTTGGACTAAAGCCTTGAAAAGGTTCGGTCCGGACGGAGTCTCCGGACTGACTCGGGATGAGCGGAGAGGAGGAGCGGTTCAAGCTGGTGGTGGTGGGCGGAGGAGGAGTGGGCAAGAGCGCCCTGACGATCCAGTTCATACAGGTAGGCCGGTCCGGTTCGGACCCGCTCACAACTCCTGAAGCTGCTCGTTAATGTTCTAGAGGTGGATCAGAACATCTGAAGTTCTTTAGAACGGGTCCCGTCGGGCCCGAGCGGTTCCCTCAGGTCCAGTAAGACCCACCAGAACAGTGTCCATAGGCTGGTTCTGGCCGAGTCGTTGGACCGGACCTGGTTTAGCTTCTTCAGGATCCAGTTATTGTTTCCGCCCTTAACTGTCACACGGATAGTTCTAATCTGGTTCTGTCCAGGACCCATGGTCCAACCAGAACCCAGCCCATAATGCTGTGGCTGATCTGTGTTCTGTGTGAGTACTGGATCAGAACCATTAGCCTAAGTTGATTACTCCAGGGGTCCATTAGAACCCGGTTCTGATGAGAGGGAGAACGGGTCTGACCAGGTAGTTCCATCAAACTGCTACCAGGTGAGCTGATGTCAGAGTAGAATCCGGACCAGTTTCGGGTCCACCTCTACAACAGTGGTTAATGATGATCGTGTACAGCTGGTTCTGGTTCTGGTTCTAACGCAGACTCTGCCCCACAGTCCTACTTCGTGTCAGACTATGACCCCACCATCGAGGACTCCTACAGCAAGGTCTGCAGCGTGGGCGGGAAGGAGACCCGGCTGGATGGTAGGCTCTGACTCACTTACACGCCTGGTGTTGCTCACAGGCACATGGGCAGAGTGTCTGCTCTGGAGGTTTCAGCAGCACCTTGTTTGGACTTGTCAGTGGGCCGATGCGGTCGGGGTGGGGTGTTCTGGGTTGTGCTGGTGTTTCACCACTCTGATGCAGGTTAACGCCGTCTGATCTCCTCTTACACCTCAAACAGAACCTCAGAACAAGCAGTGACCCGACCCGCTTGGGACAAAAGATCCGTTTATAGGAAGGAATGTTTCTCCATGACCTTGTTTTGGAATTGTAGCGACATGAAGTCTGTTTAGCTGCACTTCTTTTAATGGTTTCACCACATTTTTAACCCAAAACGGTCACATTTCAGCTAAAACGCACCAAAGTTCAACCGAACCTGGTGTGTTATCGTCCGGAGGGGATGCTAATGCTAACTCACTAGTGTGTGTGTGTGTGTGTGTGTGTGTTCAGTCCTGGATACAGCAGGTCAGGAAGAGTTTGGTGCCATGAGGGAGCAGTACATGCGCTCTGGAGAAGGATTCTTACTGGTGTTCGCCCTCAACGACCGGGGGAGGTAAGGTGTGTGTGTGTGTGTGTGTGTGTGTGTGGTGTCTGGGGGGTATTCCAGACCGTGAGTTTAGAACATCGGGGATCTCCTGATGAATCCCTGCTTGACCTCCTTTGATTAAAGCTGTGTAGCTACCGTAAATCCTCTAATACAGGCCGGTTTACAATTAACTGCCGGGTATCATATTGTGGCCGGTGTCGGAGCCGGCGGAGGTGAATAATGGCCGGTTTTTTATTGTGGCCGGGTGGAATGTGGTAACAAGCAAGTACGGGGGGGGGGGGGGGGGGCGGTTGTGTCATCCGTCTCACTTTTGATTTGCCAGTGATAGACCGCGAGGATAACTTTAACCGTGCGGAGACGAAGAGGAGGCGAAAATTTTATATCAAGTTCAAAGAGAACGTGCTGATTATGCTGCAGAACACTCTGGGGAGCAGTAGCAGGGCTTGTATGAACCAGTCGACTTCACCGCTCTATAGTGACTTTTTATGCCTGTCATCGACTAGTCGCTGTCACATGATAATGACCGGCAAGATGCAGCCCTCGGAAAAGACAGCAGCCTACTGTCAGCAGGTGACAAGCTCCTGCGCTCGGGGGGGCAACGCGCTGTGCCAGAGCGTCAGTACTGACACGCGATCGTTCATGTCGGTTCGTTTCATTTAATGTTTTCTGTCTATTTGCGCCTGAAGCGTTTTGCTGCTGTGGAGCGGGGCGCATCAACTTGTCATCCGGTAACGCACCGATCACTGATGCGGCCGGCAAGCAGCGAGCACTCCGCTGTTTTTGCGGTCGGTAGATCTTTTAGAACTGCAGTTCAAAGGTAACTCATAAGGTGAATATATATGAACCCAGGCAGCAGTTTTTCTTTAGGATTGAGAGGAGATGCAGGAAGATAATAAACAGACAGGACAGAAAAATAGTCAAATATAAACAAGTTAGTTTTTGTACCTGCTGGTTGCAACAAACAGACACCACTGAAGGTAATCAGAAGTGAGGAACAGAAAATGAAATAATTATTTTAATGTTTAGAGCAGCAGGAACTCTGAGAGGCTGCAGGCGCATCAGTGAGTTTGCAGCCGCTGTGCAGGGGGGGGGGGGGGGGAGGGCTGAAGCAGAAGCTACCGTTGTTAAAAGAAATGTGTTTAACTTTGAAAATGTGGGCGCAATTTTAATTGTCAAAAACTCCAGCGAACCATTAGTTCATTTTGCTCAAGTAGAAATAGAGACCTGCCTCTAATTCTGGCCCTCCTTCCAATAAAGTCCTGGAGCTTGATGAGCTTGAGTCAAATACAGGCCCGGGCCTGTATTAGAGGATTTACGGTATTTAGTTAGAACGTTCAGCGTTGACATGTTTCCATGGCAACACCAGAAGTCCGCTTCAGCTCGTTTCTCCGCTTATTTTATTCAAGTTTTCATCATTTATGTGTCGTTTTCGTGTTCTGCTCCAGGGTCTGGATGCTTTTAGACGGGAGGACTTTTGCTGAGCAGCTGTGAGTTTAAAGAAAATACGTTCGTGGTGGTCACATGACCCTAAAGTTAACTCCGTAAACCGTTTAGCTCTCATATTACACACCGAGGTCAAAACATCACATATGTCATTTAAATCACATATTAGAGTGTGTGACCAGTAGTAAATATCAATTAAGATGTTATTAAGAGCATCGTGTTCCTCCGGTGGCCGTGAGGGCGCACAGTGGTTGGGTGGCGTTCCTCCGACATCCGTCACAGCGTTGGGTGGGGGTTGAGCGGGTGCGCTTTACTGGCTTCCAGAGAGATTTGTTACCAGAAGACTAGACCAACGGCTCTCTACAGGGACTCGGCTCTCATCGTTCACTTTGAAAACCCGTTCAGAAGATTCGATTTGTTCGTGAGCGTCACATCACTACAAGGCAAGGCAGCTTTATTTATAGAGCACGTTTCAAACACGGGCAAATCTACGTGCTTTACAATTAGCACGAAATGACACAACGGCAAACACGAGAACACAAATGAAAATATACACGGATAAAATTATAATTTAGAGCTAAAAGGAAAAGACAGAATTAAGGTTGACCAATTACATCACAGATTACCGTGGAGACGACGCAGCATAAGATGCTGATGAACACGTTAGGGTTAAACAACTCTAGGTTTGGGGCACATCTGAGGTCCTGAGGAAGCTGATTCCATATGTGAGCAGCATAGTACCTAAAAGCATCTCCACCCTGTTTGGTTCGGACCCGAGGTTCTGGTTGTTACATAAGGATCTCAGAGCCCTGTTGGGTGTATACACAGGAATGAGAGCTGACATGTATTCTGGTCCCATGCCACTGAGTGATTTATAAACTAGTAGTAGCACTTTGACATCTATTCTGTAGTTTACTGGTAACCAGTGTAGGGATGTAACAACAGGAGTGATGTGCTCCGTTCTCCTGGTTCTTGTTAAGACAAGCAGCAGCATTCTGAACAAGCTGCAGTTAGACCATTGCAGTAGTCCAGCTGACCAGAAATAAAAGCATGAACAAGTTTCTCTGGTCTGGTTTGGACATGAGACCTCTGACTCTTGATGTTTGATGAAGGTGATAAAACGCTGATTTAGTTATAGCCTTAATATGTCCAGAGAAGCTCAGGTCGGAGTCAGTAATAACACCAACATCTGGGTTTTTGTCTTTATTCCCCTGGAGTCCAGCTGAGCAATAACATCCATCCTAACCTTCTTGTTGCCAAAGACAATAACTTCAGTCTTGTCTTTGTTTAGCTGAAGGACGTTTGACTGCATCCAGTCGTTTACTTGTTCTAGGCACTGACGGAGTGAGTCCAGCGGCCGACAGTCGCTAGGTGATAGGGCTAGGTAGATCTGGGTGTCATCAGCATAGCTATGATAGGCGATGTTAAGTGTGACCTGACCCAGGTAGAACATGTAGAGATTAAAGAGAAGTGGTCCTAGAATTGAGCCTTGGGGGATCCCACATGTCGTGGTGATCAGCTTTGATTTCTGATCCCTAATAGAGACAACATGGCTCCTGTCTTTGAGATAGGATTGGAACCAGCCAAGCACTGTGCCTGATGGTCCCACCCAGTTTGTGAGCCTTTCCAGAAGGATGTTCTGGTCCACAGCATCAAAAGCATCATCAGGACAGATGCTTTACCTGAATCAGTGTAAACGGATGCTGTTACTACCTTGACCAGTGCAGTCTCAGAGCTGTGGTGATTTCTAAAGCCTGACTGAAAGCCATCCATAATGCTATGGGACTCCAGAAAGTTGCTTATTTGGATCATTACAACTTTTTGATAATTTTCCCGGTCAGAGGGCGGTTAGAGGTCGGTCGGTAGTTGTTCAACACTGAGGGATCTAGTTTCCTCTTCTTTAGAAAGGGTTAAACAGCGGCAGTTTTCCGTGGTTTAGGAACAGTTTCTGACATTAAGGAGCAGTTAACTAATTCCAGTACGTCCGCTTTCAGGCAGCTAAAACATTTTTAAAGAAGTTTGTTGGCAGGCTGTCCAGACAGCAGGTCTTTACTATGTCCTCAAGTGTTTCAGTACTAATCAGGCTGAAAGCCGGCATTCTGGCCAGGTTGTTGCTGTGAGGCTGTCAGTGGTCTGGTTGTGTTAGCTGTGATTGGCTAATCTAGTGTTTGTGATTATGTCGGTGAAGATGGATGCAAACTCATCACACTTAGTCTGAGATATGAAATCAGAGGCTAGCCGTGCTGGGAGGTTTGTTAGCCTCTCGGCAGTAGCGAACAGGACACGGGAACGGCTAATGTTGTTACTGATGACTTAGAGGAAAAGGCTTGTCTGGCCTTTTCCGTGTTCTAAGTACGCAGCTGCATTTTGATGATCTGACAGTGATCTGGTAGGTTAGTTTTCCTGAGTCGGTGCTCTGCTTCTCTACATCCTCGTGTTTGGTAACAGATCTCGAGAACCACGGAGGTTCCTGTTCGCCAGAGATGATTTAGAGTTTTTCAGGCGTGATGGTGTCAAGGACTTGAAGGGTTTTGGAACAAAGGCTGTCTAAAAGTGAATCAGCACAGCTGGATGCTGGACGTGTGGACATGTCCTGTAAAAGCTGAAGCAGTGTCACCACCTATGCACCTTTTTTTTGCAAACAACTGTAGATTGAAGTGTAGCAGGCGAGGCCGATATCTTAGAGGAAACACATCTATGACAACAATGTTCGACACATCAACATCTCTAGTTAGGGTTGGGTCGAGAGTGCGGCCCTGCTCGCGTTTCAGCATGAATGTTTTGTTAAAGGTCATAACTCGAGCAAATCAAGGAATTTAGCCATCAAGAACAAAGCTGCAGCAGCTGCTGTGGGCCAGCGCTGGTGCTAATTCACCGTCTCGTAGCTGCCAGCTGCTGACAAGAAAAGGGGCGTCACTTGCCTCGTCCAATCACATTCACAGAGCGTCAGTAAAGCCCGGGGCTTACGGAAGACGGCTGCGCTGCGCCACGTCCCGCCTGTGCCGTCATTTTAAAAAGTAGCCTTTATAGTTATTAAGCGGCTAGAGAGAGAGCAGCGCTACGTCCCAGGAGCACCCGTCCGTGCAGAGGTGCTGAAGAAAGGCACCGGTTCTATTCCGTAGCTGTTTACAACCTTGTGGAGTACTTTACAACAGACACGACGCAGAGCGGCTCTCCGGCACAAACCCAACCACCAACACATGGACAAGGAGCTTATAAATGCTACTTGATTACAGTACTGATAACTTTAAAGTACTATTGATCCTAAAATATTGTAATAAATGGTGCACTTACCCATTTTAATGAATTAGTCTCACTAAACTTGACATTATGTCTGATCACGCATAAAGTGTCACTTTCCGCTTCCTGTTCTCAAGTCTCGCGTGATGTTGTGACTATCGCGATTTTCCAAGAAGCGTTCAGCGGCCTAGCGAGCCCGATGTGACCACTTGACCTCCCAAAACCGCGGCGCTTCCGTGGCGTAGCGTATCTGTCTCTGTGTGCCCCAGCTGCTTGTTGTGCAGCGTGCGTTACCATGGTGAATGGGTGGGGTTTCAGGCTAGCCACATTCATAAAACCCATTTAGGGGCGGGAATCTCAACAAAAGCCTGGTTTGGGAAAATCTTGCATTTTGGAATGCCCCCCCCCCCCCCCCCCCCCCCGGTTGATGTAAGCAAAAAGGTTCTGTCCCAGAAACAATCAGGTTCTCAAAGGTTCCAGGTCCACTCTTTCAGGGAGATGCTCCAACACATCTGATTTAAATACCAAGCATCTGCAGGAAGTGATAAACATGTGATCCAGGTGTGCTGGAGCAGGATGGGTGCCCTCTAGGACAGGTGTGCCACCTGCGGATTCCACCTGAGACATTTGAGGAGACGTTTTTTTTTTCATTAGATTTGATTTAAATGTCATTTCAGCAAAAAATGCCAACTTGGTTTTCATTTTTCATGTTTTGTGGTTCTTCATCATCCCTACAGCAAACAGAGCTTGTTTTACCTTTGCTCACATGTTTTGGCGTCTACTGCCAGCCTTGTCAGCATAACCACCGATGTCTGTCTATCGCCTTCTGCGTCACGAATGGTCCAGCGTGTATACTCGTGGTCCTGGGTCCACTGGGGGGGGGGGGGGCAACACTGTAACACAGCAACTTTACAAAAGGAGAAAGAACAGCCGTGACATCCCTCGTCGTTATTCTACCAGCAGACAGGAAGAACAGTGATGATGGACAAAGACAAATATAATCAACAGGTGGATGCTCGAGGAATAAAACCCACACGAAACACCGAAAAAGATCCAACGGAAGACATGAAGACCAGCAGGGCCATGTCATCCTCCGCTGACCGCAGATAAACGGAAATGACGTCACCAACATCGGCGGTTGCTCTGACGAAGGTGGCAGTAGACGCAGAAACATGTTAGCAGAGGTAAAAACGATGGTGTGATGAAGAAGCACAAACGGTTAGATTGGATAGAAAACACAGAGCAAACGTAACGCCTTGTTCTTTTCTCAGTTTGAGCCTTTTGTGTCTTCCTGCAGTTACCACGAGGTCCAGAAGTTCCACACCCAGATCCTGAGAGTGAAGGACAGAGATGATTTCCCGATGGTTCTGGTGGGAAACAAGGTGGACCTGGAACAACAGAGAGTGGTGAGACCTCCTCTGGAAAACACTGACACATGTTCCACCTAGGGTTGTCACGGTAACCGGTGTGGCGGTAAACCCCGGTAAAAAAGTTGACAATAATAAATGCACACCTTCCGCTGCTGTTTTTCACCTGTATCAGCTGATGGAGGGCTCTAGTTTCGTTGCGCCATTCGTGTCAACAGACACGGTAGGGGCGGGGCATGACGCTTAGCCTGGCGGGCCAGCAGGCTTATAAAGCGTGTTATAAAGTTTTTATATCTAATAATTTTTCTTTATTTCTGACAGAGACCTCTCCTCTGTCCCGACCGTCTTTAAAACCTCCTTTCCTCAGTACTGCTGTCCCGGTTCGATGGCTGGGACAGACTTCCAGGCAGCAGGACCCCGTAAGGGTCAGAAACCACAGCAGTGAGAACCTGATAACTGGACTCACCTGGACCTGGTTGTGTCTGTCTGCAGATCTCCAGAGAGGACGCTCAGGCGTTCGCCTCAGAGAACAGGATCCACTACATGGAAGCTTCTGCCAAAAACCGCTACAACGTAGACGAGGTTTTCCTGGAGCTGGTGCAGATCATCAGGTACAGAACCTTCTAGACTCATGTCCATGTGTCAGAGCTTCTGCTGAAGAATCATCTGGATTTCCTTTGCTTTAGTCTAGTAATCACCTGAAGCACCATTAAAGCTTCTTTCCGGAGTATTTCTTATCCGATGGCACCATCTAGTGGCTGACAAGCATATCACACACAGTCTATTCCTCTGTTTTTTTTAAGATGGCGACTTCATGTTTCTGTTTATAAATGTGCTTCTGTAGCCGACAAACAGCTAAATCACGTAGTTTTACGAGTATTACACTCATGTCATGTTGAGTTCTCATATATTTATATTTTAGAGACCTTCTTGTCTGTGAAAAGTTCATCAACTCTGCATCAGCCGAGGTACTCCTTAAACATGAAGCAAGTAAGCGGTGGTCTAACGCTATTGGTTAGTTCTGGTCGGGGCTCCGTTTCCTGTTGACGGGCAGAGTGCTTCTCGGATTAACTTTACCTCACCATCAGGACGGAGAAGCTTCTGGTGTGGCGTTAAACACGCCTCAGCTGTTGGTGTTGTCACTGTTCCTGGAGTCATGTGGTCACCGAGCAGACCGCTCTGTGGTTCTAACAGAACCCTGCTTTTATTTTATCGTCTCGAGGTAGAATTTTCCAAAACGTCACGAGTTGTTTCAGCTGAAGGCGACAAATCAGAGCAAACATCAGGCTCTGTATCCGGTGTTGCGGTGCCGTGACGTCACTGTAACACGATGGGATCTGTTGGCGTGGTGGTCACGTGTTGTTTAATCAGGACACATTCCTCCCAACCGAACCGCCCTGCGACCTGAACACCACCCTATCTGAGCCCACCACATCTGGAAGAAAGGTCCATGCCAACCCGCACACACCTGTATGAGTGGCTGTCCTGTTCTTCTGCAACAAAAGTGGAAAATGAGAACATAAAAGGGTTGGTGCTGGGTCAGGATGACCACAGCAGTGTTGGAAACACAATCCTGGGCTGGACCCAGATCAGAACCAGCAGCTCTGTACAATGCGAGTCCTGGAGGTCTTGGTGTTGATGGTTCCTCTTCTTGCTTTCAGACGGTTTAAGGAGTTGGAGAGCCCCCCTCCACCGACCCAGCAGACCAGGAAACCGAACCGAGGAGGCTGTCCCTGTGTCATCCTCTGAGCTCTGTTACCGTGGACCCCAGTGCATCGTCCTACCGCAGCTTCTGCTCGTGTGTGTGTTCTTTTTGCCTAACTAGATCTTTTCTTCAGTGTTTAATGAGTGAGTGACGCCGATGATGAATCTGTCAGAACATCTGGTTTTTGTGTCGGAGCAGAGCGTTGGGTCGTGGAGCACAGCTGCACCTGGCTGGTTCTTCAGTGTAATGTTCCAACATGTCCTGAGGGGGGCAGCAGAGGAACATCAGCTTCACACCAGACCCATTCTGTTCCCTCCTCGGTGTGTGTGGGCTCTTTGTGGTGCCATAGTGTCACAGATGATAAAACCGTTGTAACTGGGTGTTTTAGAGCTCCAGCTCTGCTGCTTTTTTTGGTACGGTGTTCTTTATTTCTGTTTAATATCAAACTTCTGATCCAATAGGTGACGTTGCTTCAGCTCAGACTCCAGAACCAGATTCCAGAGGCGTCAGTCTCTCTCTGATAGATTCAGTCATGTGTTGTGGTTAAAGGTGGGGATGAAATAATATGTGATCAACGTTTCCGAGCTTTTAATTTAGTTTTATTTGGTGATGTGATGATTTAAAGATCCCAGAATCTGTCAAAACCGTGAAAACACAAAAATGGCAGATATAAAGAAAAGGATAAGTGAGCTCCTTCTACTTTGACACAAGCTCAGAACTCCCCTTCCCCTTGTTGCCGTGGTGACGAGTTAGGCCCCAGTCACCATGGTGATCAGTTCAGTCTCTTACTGTGTTGACAAGCCCCTGTCACTGCCGACCTAACCGGGCCCAGGAAAAACATTGGTGATGATGCTGGACTCGGCCGAGCTGGTCCGACTCGGCTCTCGCAGCGGACCAGATGAGCTCAGGTGGACTTTTCCCTACAGGTTGCTGACGGACCTGAGCATGGTCCTGAGAGCTGGCAGGAGAAGTTCTGCTCACTGACACAAAGTGATGCAGGACTTGGTCAGCAGAAGAGCAGCTGTTTGGACGGGAGGTCTTTGTATTCTGAGCTCCACCAGTAAAGGATTGAAGGGAAGTAGTTCTGTAGAAGATCACAATCAGCCTTCGTGATGATTTTCAGCTGTAGGCACCGCTTGTTGGAGAAGAACGAAGACTCACAAGGCAGATGGGTGGACTCTGTATTTTAATCAGTGTCAGTCGCATATTTTTTTAATTTGTGATTTTATTTTAAATTCTTTTAAAAGATTTTTGTAATTTATCTGCTGACAGCATGATCAGTTTTATACGAATCACTTTTATACTTCAATAAAGCATTTATTGGCTTTCCTTCTGGGCTCTTGTCTTGTCTGAAGGTGTGGTTCAGTGGGAGTGTTCACTAAAGCGGCGGCGTGTGGAACCGTCGGTCCACCTGGCTCACGGTCAGGACCAGGTGGTCACCAGCTCCTCCATTACTCAGTTTGCTGCTCTGGAACGTACAGGTGTGTGTTAATGCAGAGAAAAGACACCAGCAGCTGCTGGGTCAAAGGTCACATTTAGGCCATCATTCTACAGAGAGACCATTCCCCCCAAAAAACATTTCAGACAGCTGCTGATCGTCCCAGGACTGGACATGTTCAGCCCTAGAGCTCCATCTGAGGCTAGAGAGCTAACTAAACGTCTGACAGACACCAGAATGTCCCGCAGATGCCAGCTCCACACGTCTGAACAAGTGAGGGTAAAAAAATAAACGCGTGGGTACCTGAATAGTCCTGGCCAGTGGACGGGTATAAAAGTACAGAATGAAAAGTAAACGGGGCCTTTGTGGTTCTTTACCCTCTTAAACATCACTAGCTGTTGCAGTGAAGTCCTACCTTCAGGAAATCTGTCCCACAGGAACTACTGATCAGTCACCGGAGCTCGGAGTCTCTGACCCGAGTGATTAAACACCAAGAAAAAACAAAACAAGCCCCAACTTTTGTTACTGAGCATGTGAGTGGTGTCCTCTGTCCCACACCCGTTCCAGCAGCTGGGTTGTCCCAAGGGAACTTTAGGTGGATCAGAGAAGGTGGGCCACCAAGAGGTCAACCAGCATGTCTTCACTCAGACACGGTCAGAAACGCAGATGGACCTGAAGTCCAGTCCAGCTTTAACATCTCCTGTGAGTTCAGAAGGAACCAGCTAAGCAAGCATGTAAATGATGATGATAAACGACCCGCGCTTGCACAGCGCCTTTCAGGGTCCGAGGACTCCAGAGCACTTTACACTGCAGTGCATCATTCATCCATTCAAGCTCCGCCGGGGGAACCCCAAGGCGTTCCCTGGCCAGGTGAGAGACATAGTCCCTCCAGCGTGTCCTGGCTCTCCCTTTAGGCCTCCTCCCGGTTCGACGTGCCGGAAAACCTCACCAGGGAGGCGTCCTAACCAGATGCCCGAGCCACCTCAACTGGCTCCTCTGGATATGGAGAAGCAGCAGATCTACTCCGAGCCCCTCCCGGATGACCCTATCTCTAAGGGAGAGACCAGCCACACTGGGATGTGGATTCATGTTGATTATGTTAAGTAGGGATGCTCCAATGCCGAGACCAGCATCCGGCATCGGGCTGATGCCACGTGTGTAAACTCATACTTGTAGTCATAAAAGTGCTCCGATACTATGGGGCCAGATACCAGCGTGATGGGAGCTTCGTTTCCCTTTAACAGACAGTGTTGTTTTGCGCACAAACACTCTTAACTCCGTAATTGGTGCTAATGCACCATAAAACAAAAGAAGATGACAGCGACTTCCGGGTGCTGGGAGAGGAGGAGCATGTCGGCGGTATTTCCAAGTGAATGATGGGAACATCAGTAAGGTGACTGTAAAATATATTCAGCAAAGTTGTCAAGAGGAGGAACAAAACCTAGCTCTTTCAACACAAGCATCCGTCCATCCATCACCCATCCATCCATCCATCCATGCATCTTTATCCATCCATACATCTTTATCCATCCATCCATCACCCATCCATCCATCCATCCATCCATCCATCTTTATCCATCCATACATCTTTATCCATCCATCCATCACCCATCCATCCATCTTTATCCATCATCCATCCATTCATCTTTATCCATCCATCTTTATCCATCCATCTTTATCCATCCATCCATCCATCCATCACCCATCCATCCATCTTTATCCATCCATACATCTTTATCCATCCATCCATCCATCCATCCATCACCCATCCATCCATCTTTATCCATCCATACATCTTTATCCATCCATCTTTATCCATCATCCATCCATCCATCTTTATCCATCCATCCATCATCCATCCATCCATCCATCCATCCATCACCCATCCATCCATCTTTATCCATCCATACATCTTTATCCATCCATCTTTATCCATCATCCATCCATCCATCTTTATCCATCCATCCATCCATCATCCATCCATCCATCCATCCATCCATCCATCATCCATCCATCCATACATCTTTATCCATCCATCCATCCATCCATCATCCATCCATCCATCCATCCATCCATCCATCCATCTTTATCCATCCATCCATCCATCATCCATCCATCCATCTTTATCCATCCATCATCCATCCATCCATACATCTTTATCCATCCATCCATCCATCCATCATCCATTCATCCATCTTTATCCATCCATCATCCATCCATTAATCAATCTCCATCCATCCATCCATCCATCCATATACCCTTATCCGACTCCATCCATCTTCGACTCCATCCATCTTCATACCCTTATCCGGAGTCGGGTCGCGGGGGCAGTAGCCTAAGGCGAGAGGCCCAGACTTCCCTCTTCCCAGCCACTTGGGCCAGCTCCTCCGGGGGAATCCCAAGGTGTTCCCTGGCCAGGTGAGAGACATAGTCCCTCCACCGTGTCCTGGGTCTTCCTTTAGGCCTCCTCCCAGTTGGACGTGCCCGGAAAACCTCACCAGGGAGGCGTCCAGGAGATCAAGCCTTTATAAATAAATTATATATATAATACATAATACCGTGTAAATGATCGGTTAATGACTTACTAAACACTGCTTAAATGTGTTTGTAAACGTCATCGCAATCCTTTATAAACATTTGTTCATCATTATCTAAGACCTTGCAGATGGGCTGTTAATGACTTTCTAATGACTTATAAATGTTTAACAACAAAACATTATTAAGTGCTACCCGCATTGATTATTAGAATTATATGATGTGATAATGAGCAACATTTATGAAAAATCAACTGCACCTTATCGGGCTGCTCTGGAGGTAACCGACTGTGGTGGACTGACTCGGCGCGTGCACATGTCCATAAACCTGTTCATGACCGTGTTCATGCTCCTGCCTTGGATCCTCTCGCTGCTGAGCCGAGCCAATCAGCGGAGGGAACCGGTGAGAAAGCAGAGCCCAAACCGGTTTGGGAGTTTCCCGCCTCAAGTCGGTATGTCGTTCAGCCGGTTTGCGGTGTGACGTTACCTGCAGATAAAACGTCTACCCCTGTGAGTTCCTCCTGTGACTCGAGCTGATCTGCTCCCGTGTTTCTGGGAATCTGGTGTCTATCCTCCGAAAGGTTCGGACAGGTGGACCAACACCTGGACAGGTGAGTGCCTCACCTTCAGCAGTCTGCAGAGCCGAAGTGCTGCAGTTTCCTCACGGGCTCTTCCTGTTTGTTGTAGGTCTTCGCTTTGATGGCGGTGCTGTGGATCAGTACGCTGTCCCTGCTGCACACGGCCCTCTGCTCCGCCGCCTTCGTGCGGCCTCCAGGTGAAACACCTGTGCCTCCCAGCTTGTTTACTATAGGCTGTAGTGACGCTGCAAGGTGGTGACGTCCGCGACCCACCGACCTGGACCGTTGCTCGTTAGATCAGGAACCTGGTTCCAGTTCAGCCCAACAGACCCAGAAAGCACCTGTTGTGGTTCTGAACAGGAACCATCTCACTTCAGCCTGTTTGTCACTTTAAACGGATTTCTGTTGCCATGGAGATGTTTAATGATGGCCTTTAACTCGTTTTAGTTTATTAAACTGATAATCTGATTTCATGATTTCTATTGTGAGAGTCAAACCAGCTGATCGGCTTCAGAAAATACAACAACGACAACTTATAAATGAAAAATATTACTGGATACAGAAATATTCGACGTCCTGAGTTTTGTGCATGTTTTATTTCTCATTCTAAAACAAAACAATCATTAGTGAATAATGTTATTAAATAAACAAGTACAACAAAACATCAGGTGTAGGATGAAGAGACTGAGTGACCGAAGGTGACGTCCCCGTCTGTCAGACGGTTCAAAGGAGCTCAGACTCCTCTCAGCTTAACGAAGAAGGATCACTCCACCAGAGTTTAATAATTTTGTGAATAAGTGTGACCGAAAATATCGGGTGAAATTAGACCTGGGACAACAACAAACACTGGACAATGTATGTCCAACAAATTATCGATGATAAACAATTTTATTGTCGACACTGTGGAGACCAAAATAAACACTTATGTGATGTTAACACATAATAATACAAGTACACCCTTTAAACTGCAGCAGTTAAACCTTTATTTAACTCACTCAGGTGATTTATTTTCAGCAGCAATGAACCGTCTGAGCTCCTTTTGTTTCCTGTGAGGTCGCAGGGATCTGCGATATTGATTGGAGACAATTTCTGAAAATACCGATCTCCAGCCTCCTTCACAAGTTCCTCCCTGTAAGGGATGTGTTCGTCCTGCTCTAGATCCTGTTCACTCTCGTTCTGCTTCAGCGCTAAGGGGGTGTGGTTGACATACAGGTCACGTTTCTGATGAAGACCGATATACCGAGGCTGGAAATATTAGTTCTATCATACGATTAATTGATTTATTGACTATCATCCCAGCCCTAAGAGAAACTGAAATGAACCTAACCCAAGCCTTTAACAGACTCTAGGTAAGTCTTAGTCCACATCTGGTCCTGGTCCAACCTCCAGTACCACTTCCTGACTCATGAAGTCACGACTGACTGTCAAAAATCTTCTTATCATTAAAACTTTATTCTGAATTACTTCTATGAACTTTGACAGAGTTGAAGAGTTGGATATGAATACAGATTATTATGTGTGAATTTGTGTGATCTGGCTCCAACCAGTTTCTCCAGGAGAGGACAGGAACAGACCTGTACAGGTGTTTCTGCACTGCAGGGTAACTTCAGCTGTTTCTTGCTGTTTGGAAATATATTGTACAGGTGTGGTGGAACACATTTGTTAATTATGACCAATAAGATGTGATGATTCCATACAATCTGATTTATCTTTGAAAGTTTAATCTGAAGATTCTAGGGTTCTTTGCTTCTTCAGGGATCATAAACACACTTCGTATTAATTCAGACAGAGTCAGTATGTAGTTTATCAAACAAATTTAATTATTTTCCTAAACTAACAATGTATACATGACAAGATATGAATAATGAGATGTGGTGTGGCGGATCTGGAGAGATTTAAAGGGATGTGTGAAATGTGATGGAAGCTAGATGTTGTGGCAACCGTTCTTTGTATCTGAGAGGAATTGTGAAGTCTGGCTTTAAAAGAATGTGGTTGTATATAACTAGAGTTGTTTATCTAAAAACCTCATCACTCCCGTATGCAGGCTACCATACACATTTATATGAGTTGCTCCTGGCGGTCCGGAGGGTTGCGGTCAGGTCGGTGAGGTCACCGGACATCAAAACCACGATACTCAGAGATTAGTAGCTTCCTCTGAGTTCAGCTTCCTCGGCCATGAGATGCAACCCGGGGTCTGCAGGTTAGGTGTCCAAGGTGGATGTCTGCGTTGAAGGAGCTCTGAAAAGAGCGGTTGTGTCTGTAATCACTCGCAGCGTCGCAGAAAGGGTTTTGTGTCACGATGTGGAGGGAAGATGGAGGAACAGCGGATCCTTCAGGCAGGTAAATCAACCCAGGCAAGACAGCAATGGACATTTGGTTCCTCTTTAATGGTCAGGAGTGCAGACACGACAGGGTAGACAGGTGTGAACACAAACTGACATGTAATGAGTACGGACCGACAAGCAACACACGAGGCTTATATAGACGCTGGGATGGGTAATCAGGTAACAAGAGGCAGGTGGACACCATTAAGGTAAAACCCAAGGCGGGGGAGCAGCAGTGTGACATTCTGACTTAAGGTCAAAGGAGATGGTTTTCAAAAGAGATACTTCTTTCCCGATTTGGCCGAATCGGGAGTCAGCTGGAAACGGAATTATTCGGGAAGTTCTGGCAAATCAGAACGTGCCATGTCTGGAAGGCTTTACCAAAACATTCCTCAGAAAGCCACGCCTCCTTGCAGATACAGTGGATGTTTTTAACGCTGTGAATGAGACTCTTATGTGAGGTGAATATTAACCTTAACATGCATCTTATTGTAATGAGTATGAGTGTAAACAATGATTCACTTGTTATGTCACACACACACTGATCATCAGATCTGAAATGGGTCATTGTAAGAGCAATCTTCATTTTAAAGCCAGCATTGCTTTAAACACAGATTATTCAAACATTTCATTCAAACATCTTTTTCATTCAACACACGATCATTTATCTCATAACTGTAAAGTCAGGGAAGCTTCACTTCCTTCAGAGTGAAGAATGCTGTCTGGCTTCTACGCAGAGAGGGCAGGGGACCATGACACTTTATTATGACTTCATGTATGTCAACCCGCAGTGAGCAGAACCTTCTGGGTTTGGAAGGCCAAGCAGAAAGTGGATTTATTTCTGTAGATGAAAGGTCACTCACTATGTTGTAGATGGTGAAAAATAGACCCTTTTGTACGTTACTCAGGAAAGTCCGTGCTATTGGATGAGCAGTCCGCAGCATCCTTCCTGTCGCGCTCGCTGCTCTACAACCACTGGGACTTTGAGCTGGTGGTGCCAGGAAACCTGGAGAGGGAATGTTTAGAGGAGGTGTGCAACTATGAGGAGGCCAGAGAGGTGTTCAAGGATGACACAAAGACGGTAAGACCCCCATCACAAACATTTAGCAACAACTTCCAGATATTTTAACTCCATCTGAACAATGCTCTTCACTGGATGAAATCTTTTCACTAAATCTGTTTTTATTTGCAGGCAGACTTTTGGAAGCACTACACCAGCACAGGAGGTGATGAACCAGATTCATATTCTTTATAACTGCTGACGTTTGTTTGAAGCTCTTTTACATCATCATGATATTGTTGGTTGTTGTTCTTACTGAGGAAGACTCACTCTTTTATGCTCCAGAATCAAAAGGATCCATGAATCAGTGGTGACCAGGTGGTGCTGTAGCACCAGCTAGGTACCTGTCATGGCGTCACCTTCTCACAGCCACAGTTGTTACAGCTGCAATGACAAATGAGCGTAAAGCCTTTTTCATGCCATTAACAACATTGTATAGCTATAAATATTTTATAGAGATAAAAAACATGAATAAAGTGCCCTCTGCGACCCGACTCCGGATAAGCAGCTGAAAATGGGTGGATGGATAAAAAAGTGGCTCTCTTGCTATTGTCTAAAAACCTCCACCAACAACATGTCTTGGTCCAAAACCAACCATCGTCGGTTGTCAGTCTCACTGAACCCCCACATTTCTCTGGGTCCTCCACTTGTTACGCGGTCACACATTTAACAGCAGAACAGCACAGGTGCGAGAGGTTCTCCGCTCAATAATATCAGAGAAGGAGAAACAGCCGGCTGCAACTTTAGGACAAATTACCAGAGTCCCAAAAAGGAAAACACTGTCTGAGGTCACGGACAACAAAAGATGTTTGGACCTAGAAAACAGTGACTGGTGTTTAGCGCTATCGCAGCAATGCAGATTCTCATATTAAGGGGCGTGGCTTAGGAATGATAGCTGACAGGAGCGGAGAGAGTTCTCTAACCATGTTTGTGTTTTTAAGCTAGTTTGTTTATCAGATTTGCTGTTGCAGCTTTAATGTGTAATGGAAACACCTTTATTGATTCTGATTCTAACGAGCCACTCTGAGTTTTCCATGCAGGCTGAACATGAAAATAGTCTCCTACACCTGTCTCCTGCACTAGCTTCTGATAGAAAACAGACGGTGAAACTCTAGGATAGAAAATCCTGACAGACCTACGTCACACTGTCACTATCATTCATGGACTCACCCATCTGGACTCATGACGGGGATGGCTGTTGTTGGTTTAGCATCCAGGAAACTACAGAAAACGTCCCAGCTAGTAGAAGCTAACATTAGCATTGGCAACTCCACCACACAGCTGAACTCCTCCAGGTTTGAGTTATCTGTGAAGATAAAACATCAACATTACAGAGCAAACCGAGTCAGTGGGAGAATCCTGTTGCTGTTAGCCATCAAGAGGAAGGAGATGCCCATCAATCTGGGAGTAATGCCACTTACACACTAGCATCAGCGCCACTCCACTATGCTCCGCCCACCCCAGCCTGGCCGCGTTTGTTCCACACTGCCTTAGGATTGCGGACATGGTTGAGCACATAGGCAGTCTCCAAAATTGGTGCAACAAATAGTTATACGCATCTTTGTGCATGTGGGCGGGGCAAAAGAGCACTGAGAAGTCCACGGTGTCTCCATTATTTGGAGACCCTAACTCTGATATTGCATTCTGCTTTGCTGTGTCTGGCAGCACTGTGTGTGTGTGTGCGTGCGTGTGTGTGTGTGCCTCCTCACAGTAGTGAGAGACGGAGAAATGCGGCTTCAGTCGGAGACACATTAACTCCACGTAGGGCTGCTCAATTAATCGAATTTTAATCACGATTACGATCTGAGTTTTAAACGATTATAAAAAACAAAACAAGCCGATTATTTGCTCCTCCCGCTTGCGCTGCCCTGAGTTGCAAATGAAGCGCTCCTCCCACAGTGTTGCCAACTTAGTGACTTTGACGCTATTTCTAGCAGCTTTTCAGACCCCCTTCTTGACTTTTTAAATCTTAAAAGTACCTAGCGAACACCTCAGAAACATCTCTGGTAACCCTTAGCTACTTTCTGGATAACTGTCGTCGACATTTCCTGCAGGTTAGCTAAACACTCCGCCTGCGCCCCGGACCGTTCTTCAGGACATTAGGAAAGGGAATGATGTAGCGATGTGTCAGTCGCTAAAGAAACGGCTCTCAGAGCTGGCTCCATGTTGGATTAACCAGAGTGAGTGACACACACACCACACCTGCGGACTCCTGAGCCGATAAAAACAGCTAAATGTGAGTGTGCGGCGCGCTAAACACACGTGCAGCGTGCCCCTGATTGCTGTGAGACCGGGTTGAGGGGTGGGGGGCGCAGCTGTGGTTGGGACAATTATTACATTAACTGATGGACTTGTAAATAAATAGTTTATAAATAAGGTAGAAATAAGTTCCTCACGCTGATAAATAATAACTAATCTCTCTGAGGACACGGTGCTAGTGCACTCTCCTACAGCACCTTGACATGACTCAATAAATGTTATGCAACATTTTGTGAACATCAATTTATTTGCATTTATTTGTTATAAATGCCACTGTATAATTCTTGCTGTCAGTATTTGCAAGATATTGGTATTTGGGTCTGTACTGGTTAGACTTAAATGAGTTAAACCAAGGTCTATAGTCCTTGGGTCATAGACTATGAGCTATAAGTATATTGGTCTTTTTATACTGGGAATCAGGAGTTCTTTTAGTGATCATCTTGTTTCTTATTTAATTTGGTCCAGATTGTGCCCTGAGCAATTTTATGACTGAATAAAAACAATTAAAATCAACATAAATTGAAAAATCGTCCTAAATAATCGTGATCTCAATTTCAGTCACCATAATCGTGATTATTATTTTTGCCATAATCGAGCAGCCCTAACTCCACGACATCCAGAATGATAATTAGTTGCGCATACGGGAAGCGCCCGCAGACAGATTGTATCCGCCAATCGGAGGTTCCCCCTAATGGTACGCATCAGTTTGAGCCGGCCAGTCAGTTGGCAGTGAGCATGTTGGATCAGCTCCAGGCAAATCGCCTCGGGAAGAGGGCTGGAAAGACGTCTGGTTGCGTGCGGGAAAATCCAAAGCTACCCAAATAAGAACACTCCCAACCGGATCCAGGTGGAGTGGAGCTGATGCTAGTGTGTAAGAGTCATAGGAGTCCATACCGTGTTCTGCCACTGTCCCTTCCAGCTGAATTCTCCGGCCTGAAACAGGTGCACCAGAACCTTTCCCTCGTGAAAACAACGTACAAGGCATTCAGTCCTACTAGAGACCACTGAAGATTTATTAAAAACACGAGTGAAGTTGACTTATAAAGCTCGTTGTGACGGAAAGCATCTATGGTTTAACTGAATGAGAACTGTTTCAGATACAAACATCTAGGTAAAAACATTTTCTCTTGAAAGACGCTACCCCCAACGTGGATGTGTCCGTGCTGGTGGCAGGAATCCTAGCAATCGTAGTGATTGCTGTCATCGCCACCGTTCTGGGTGTCTACTTCTACAAAAAGAAGAAGAGCAGCAGGAGTCCGGGAAGGTGAGTTCTGTCAAAATGCTGAAACCTTTGATATCCTGGTAGAAACAGACCTTCTCCTTTCATCTGGCAGCACATTTCAACCCTCTCAAGGTAAAAGCTGCGTGGTCTGTATAGAATATATCTATGCAGCTCATGCTAAGTTTGTGTGATGTTTGGTTTCCATGCTTGGTTGTGCAGAGCCAGAGCTCCAGTAAGAATGGTAGGAGATGGTGGTCCAGCTGCAGAGATGGATCCTCTGTTTGGGGTTGTTGTTCCACCTCCACCTCTACCGAGCTACAACGATGCTTTGAACCAAAGTGGCCAGCACGATGCGCCACCCCCACCATATACAGGGTGAGTCTAGTTCAGCACGCAGTTAAGAAAACTACAGAAGTAAAATGATCTGTCAGCATTTTGGTTATTTTGCTATAAAGTTTGTGACAACATTTAAAGGTGCATGATGTCTTCGGATTGCTGTGGAGGACACAGGGATTTATGGGGTTGGAGGAGGAAGACGAAAAAAGAAAGTAAATCAATGTTTTATCAGGTTAATTTGACACAAACACAGAAAACACACTTTTTTGACAACCTTGAAAACACGAAAAATAAGTGTATAATTAAAATCAAACGACATGTGTTAGTAGGGAAATAGCTGGCAAGCCATGTTGATGCATGTGTACGCATACGCCGTGAGCGGTTCTGGTACTTTTGGGGTCGCAGCCGTTCGTAGCGCTGCTTCAACAGTGCGATGCACTCATAAGGGACTAGCAGAAATCAAACACGGGATAAATCTGTGAGAACTCACGATTGCTGATCGGGAGTTGGTCACATGGTGTTAATTGCCTTCCGTAACCCCCTGTATACTACACAACGCTCAGCATAAAACTCGCCCCAATCTTGTAGATTCTCACACGAGGGGAAAATCGGCTCAAAAAGTGTAAAAGTCGTACAGTGTACACTAGGGATGAGCGAGTACACCACTATCTGTATCTGTATCTGTTCAACCAACTAAATTATCTGTATCTGTAGCTGTACTCGGAAGTGGGCATGGCATAACCCGGAAGTGGGTGTGGTTTACATCAATACATTATTTTAAGTCTGAAATTGATATGGACTGATCAGAAGTTGCTATGTGTTATTGTTTATTTGAAAACTATTTACAGAGCAGCCTCAGAATTGAGATTAAATATTTTTGATCACAATAGTAAAGAAACTATTACAGAACAAGTGTTTCAATAAAATCAGAACATTAATATTTAAGTGCATGGATTAATATATCTGAACTCATGCAGTAGGAATTAGGAAATATGAAATGCTAGAACCAGACACAACTTTATATATATTTTTGATTTTAATTTGATCAAACTGGTTTTTTTCTTAACGTTCTTGGCATTTTGCCACACAAAGTTCAACAAAACAATGTTGATTAAGGTGTGTGTGTCTGAGAGAGAAAGAGAGGGAGAGAGATGGAGTTAATAAAAATAAAGAACCTGACCGGAGCGGAGGTAGTGAGTGAGTGATGCAGCACATCAGCTCTGTCTTGTCAAATGCACCATGTAAGTTACAAAAAAAGTAACTTTAAATATTCAACCGAAAAAGAGGCGAGCTGAAGAAAACCTAGGGAAAACTGAAGAAATGTGAGCAACAGTGAAGAATTCACAGCGAGATCCGTTACTGTCTATGTGTGTGCGTGGATGAGCCGGACGGACTGCGCTCCCGGCTGGCTAGATAGTTTTGTGTGTAGGGAGGGGCGGGCGCTCTATGTGACTGGCCAATCACAGAGCGTGAAGACAGTCAGTTACCCAATGAGGATTTTCCTTCAGCACGATTACAGATATTTACGAGTTTTACTCGTTTCACGCTCGTATTCGTCAAAAATACTTTATCCATACCGGATACTCGTCTGAAACGAGTATCCAGCTCATCCCTAGTGTACACTAAAGATTTCTTGCATTTTGTCTAATTCATAATGCAACTGTAATGAGAGAGGAGGGCCTCATAGTGCACTACCAAGCTGTCTCCACTGCATTTGAAGCTAAGCTGTTTGTGACATTGACATGCGGTTAGCATGGAATATGTATCACTTCATGAGAGCTGGCATTATTTGGCAGGCATGTCAGGAAAGGTCCTAGTATCCTTTGTTTTGTGAAATCCTGGGGCCAGGCGTGGCCCACTGACCCTTTGCCTGATCACGTAGGTCCACTGTAGTAGGCATCAACTTTGAATTACGGGAGTGTTGAACGGAGAGCAAAAGTGGCAAAAGAGATACTTTTTTTGCCAGTTTAGCCTGGTTTCTACTGGTTCAAGCCCAGTTTACCTGTGGGAAAGTTGGGCCCACCTACGTAGGTCGGGCTCATAGAGCATGGTGTTTACAAAAGTTAAGTGTTAGCTAGCTTAAGAACGTTAGCTTAGGTTCTCCCTGCTGCTGTTCACCGATGTAAACAAGTGGAGGTCACGGTAGACTTTCTGCCTGAATGTGGGAGTTTATCCCTGAGGACAAAAGGGTCAGAGAACGGGTCCCGGCTGTTCGGTGTTTGTTTGAACTAACCCTAAGTAAAGTTATTTATTACATAAATTTTACAGATTTAATGCTGACATTCTTGTTAAACTCCTAACACAAATAACATCTTTGATGTATGACTTGTGCTTTGCTCCTTATCTCAATAATTTATTAAATAAATGTGAGAAATACACAAAACCCAGTTTTACATCCAGATTAAAAGCAAACCGTGAATAATGAAAGCAATTGTTTTAGGTTAGTGAGACAGAAATACATGTTAACAGGGTGTGAAGACCAATCATGTCCCACAGAACCATGTCACACTGCGTTCCCCATCAGGGGGACTTTTATATTTTCACTCCACCTCTACACCTTTGACTTCCTGTCACTGACATAAAAACATGATGCTGTTATTCATCTGAAACTTTATCGCCCGTACTGATAAAACCTGAGTCCGTCCACTCCTGCTCCTTGGTCCACCTTCTCATATCATCCACCCACCCATCCATCCATCCTCTCCCGCTTATCTTTAGTCGGGTCACTCACTAGGGAGGCATCTAGGAGGCATCCTAATCAGATGCCAGAGCCACCTCAACTGGCTCCTCTTGGTGTGGAGGAGCAGCAGGTCTACTCTGAGCCCCTCCCGGATGACTGAGCTTCTCAACCTATCTCTAAGGGAGAGCCCAGCCACCCTGCAGAGAAATGTTATTTCGGCCGCTTGTATCAGCGATCTCGTTCTTTCGGTCACTAATCTCATGACCATAGGTGAGGGTAGGAACGTAGATCGACCGGTAAATCGAGAGCTTCGCATTCTGACTCAGCTCTCTCTTCACGGCGACAGACCCGTACAACGCCCGCATCACTGCAGATGCAGCACCAATCCGCCTATCTCGCGCTCCAGTTTTCCCTCACTTGTGAACAAGACCCCGAGATACTTAACCCTCTGGAGGCAGGTGTTGCAGATTAGCAACGTTAAAACCTTGTTGCTCCACATACGTGTTTCATGAGCATTTTTTAACTCAGATGTACCCCTGAAGGACTCAGTTGTTCTTCCTTTTATCAAAACTTATTTTGGGCCTGAGAGGGTTCAACTCCTCCACCTGGGGCAGGACCTCATCCCTGACCCGGAGAAGGCATTCTACCCTTTTTCAATTGAAGACGATGGTCTCTGATTTAGAGGAGCTGATTCTCATCCCAGCTGCTTCACACTCTGCTGCGATCCGCTCCAGCGAAAGCCAGAGATCACGTTCTGATGAAGCCAACAGGACCACGTCATCTGCAGAAAGTAGAGACCTGATCCAGGCCATCAAAGCAGATCCCCGTGCACCGTACCGCTTGCTGCTGACAGTGTAGCCCAAGCTCTGACAGCGGTCATACAGGGACCTAAAGGCCCGTACCTTCTTAGATCACTACACACAAAAACGAACGCACTTTAACAACGCCAGAAGCAGAACTCCTGTGTCAGGACAACATGAAGTAGAAACATCACATGAACTACTTCAGCTTCACTTCCTGTTGGTGCTCTCGGCGTAGCTGGAAGTTAAACCTGCTGATGAACAGAGAAACATTCACACTGAGTTGTTCAGTCATGGGTTTCAGTTTGCAAAAGAAAACAAAACTTCATAGATGTGATTAAGATTTAGTGAAAATTCTGACCCCTGTTGGTTCTCTGGAGGAAACCCAGCAGACACATGGGTGTAAGTGATCAGCTGTTTGACCTGAGGAAGACATGGTGTTTTAGAGTGAAACCATCTGGTTAAGAACAAAGCAGATGTTTGATGGAGGGTACTGCCTCTGTTTCCCACTCAACAAAGATGGCTCCTTCACTCCTCTTTAAACCCATTTGTCTATTCTGTCCAAAACCCTGCTGTTCTCGTGTCCCTGTCCTCTGAGACGTAGGTGGACAGCTGAGTCTGGACCTGAGGAACTGGTTCTGCTCAGCTGTGTGTTTGTGGAGGTGCTTTAGTTTCTCTAGAGCTCTGAACACCACACCTGTAGACTCTCTGTTTGGTTCTGTGGAGTTTCCAGGTGTCCAGTCTGCTTCTCTAGGGGAAAACTGTAATTAAAAAGAGGCCACCGCCAAAGGCGGTGGTCTCTTTGAGGCTCTGTCCATTCTGGGCGCCACGGATCTGATGGTCCACCCCCCATGAGCTCTTCCTTGGGGTTCACAGGTAGGTACAAGACACACACTTATTTAGTTTTTCAGAGTGGTACAGTCTGACGAATCCGCCCTCTGGGTTGTGGTTTAGGGTCAGGATTCCAGTGGGCCAGGGTTAGTTGATGGGGTGGGGGGTGGGGGGTTTGGTTTGGGAACATCAGTCCCCACTGGTTAGGGTCAGGGCCAGGGAATGGGAGAGGGGGTGGAGAAGATGGTGGCTTCAGAGCCCCACTAATTAGGGTAAGAGCCAGGGGTCGGGAGGAGGATGGGGGGCTCAGGCCAGGAGTGATTAAACTGAGGTCGGGTGTAGGAGACAGTGTTAGGAGCTTGAAACAGCCCGAGGCTTAGCCTCATTAAGCCCTCCCGGGTGTGCTGTGTCCAGCCTCATCATCCAGAGTCTCTCTGCCCACTTCCGCTGCTGGGCAGTCCAGTCTGGGTTCGACTCTAGGACTGTGGCTGTAACAGATTGCCAACCATGTATAAGAAAGTGTTGGACCAAATGGGTGTTTGTCTCCTTCCTCCTCAGGATTTTGTATCTGTGTTGTGTGAATCTGACCAGGAGTGTATTTTTGGTCCCTCCCACATACATTTTTTGACACGTTTTGCATGTTATGAGATACACACAGTTGGAGGTGCGGGCGGTGCGTTTAGTCCGGGTTAAGTAAACTGTGTCTGAGAAAACGTTATAGATCCACTGTTTGTGCTTAAAAAATTGCCCCAAGTCCTTAGATTTAGTTCTGACTGTAGGTCTCAATTTAGCTTTAACTAGATAGTCTTTTAGATTTTTGTTCCTCCTGTAGGCAGCCAGCACCTCATGGTCTGTGAGCATCTTAGTTGTCTGGACAAGAGTCTGAAAATTCTCTTCTTGAAAATGTAGGGCTCTAGGGGAGTTAGGGTCTGTGAGTCAGAGTAAAACTACTGATCTGTTTAGGTTTCCTCTAAACTTCGGCATCTGGTGGAGACCGGCTTAGCTGGGTACCATTTTTTTGGTTCTTTTTTAAACACAGGAAAGGTTTTTTCTTTACCTTACTGATGGTTTCGTTTGCGGGCGCAAACATCTTCAGAGCTGACGCTGATGGTGGCGTCACTTCCTACTCCGTTTATTCTCAAGCAGCAGAGGACGTTGTCGCCCTCTCCCCTCGCCGATGATGCAGTCCCATGCACGATCCAACGAGTAAACACCATCGTCTCTGTTCATGGTCCCACATCCATGTCTCCCTATCTCTATAGCTTCCTTTATCCATCTTTTGTATTTCTGTTGTTTTCTTTTGTTTATTGTTTATAATAAACAAAGGAAAACAACAAACAACAGAAAGAAAGAAAAGAACAACCTAAGCAAAGAACCAGAAACCCAGAAAGACAAGAACCAAAACCAGTGATAATTCAATTCAAAAATACTTTATTAATCCCAGAGGGAAATTGATTGCTGTAGTAGCTCAGAATAATAATAATAATCAAGTCATCAAAGAGTTGTTGTATATTACAATGGCTGTTGGCAGGAAGGATCTCCAGTAGCGGTCAGTGTTGCAGCCAAACTGAAGAAGCCTCTGACTGAAGACACTCTTCCGTTGTCGGACAGTCTTGTGAAGAGAATGCTCAGAGTTGTCCATCATTTTCTTGATTCTCTGGAGAATCCTTCTTTGCATGATCTCCTCCAGCGGTTCCACAGTCGTCCCCAGAACAGAACCAGCCTTTTTTATTTCATTTCATTTCATTTATTTATAAAGCCCCTTCTGCGACCAATGCAGACACCCAAGGTGCTGAACACAACACAATAAAAACATAAAACTGTCAGAATAAAATATAACAATCATAAAACCAACATGAAATCAATTAAAAGAGGAGAGTAAAAGCAAAAAATAAAATCCTGAAAAAGATTAAGAGGCCGGAGCATCGAAACCGGGTAAAATTTGCTAATCCTGGAATGCCTCAACAAAAAAATGGGTCTTGAGGCGAGTCTTAAAAACCCCCAATGAGGTTGACTGATGCACCACCAAAGGCAACTGGTTCCAAAGTGCAGGTGCCAACACAGAGAACGCATGGTCCCCCCGTGACCTGCACTTAGTACGTGGAATGATCAACAGCTCCCTGCTGGCTGAGCGAAGGGCCCAGGAGGGGGCATGTCTATGCAAAAGGTTGCCAAGATATGCTGGAGCAGTTCCTTGTAAGGCCTTGTATGCCAGTACCAAGACCTTGAATTTTGCCCTGTATTGCACAGGCAACCAATGAAGGGATGCCAACACAGGGGTGATATGTTCCCTGCGTCTAGTGCCTGTCACGAACCTAGCAGCTGAGTTTTGTACTAACTGCAAGCGTGCTACCGCACCCTGACTAAGGCCGGCATACAGTGCATTGCAGTAGTCGAGCCTTGAAAGTACAAAAGCATGTGTGATAGTCTCTAAATGTACTCTGGACAGCAGGGGCTGAATTCTGGCTAGTCGGCGTGAGTTAAAAAAACACGATCGCACAACCTGTTTGATTTGCGCGTCGAATTTAAGGGCTGAGTCCAGGGCTTTATTAGGCTGTTGAGCCTTTTCAGGTCCCTGCTTCTGATGCTGCTACCCCAACAGACAGTGGCTGAAGAGATTACACTCTCAACAACAGACTTGTAGAAGATCTGCAGCATCTTGCTACAGACATTGAAGGACCTAAGCATCCTCAAGAAGTGCAGTCTGCTGTGCCCCTTCTTGTAAAAGGCTTCGCTGTTCTTTCTCCAGTCCAGTCTGTTGTCCAGGTGAACTCCAAGGTGTTTGTATTCCTCAACCACCTCCACTTCTTCTCCCATGATGGAAAAAGTGTTTGACTCCACCTGGTTTCTTCTGAAGTCTAAAATCATCTCCTTTGTTTTGTTCACGTTCAAGGTCAGATGATTGTTTCCACACCATGCCACAAAGCGCTCCACCAGTTCTCTGTACTCAGCTTCCTGTCCATCTCTGATACAGCCGACAACTGCAGAGTCATCTGAGTATTTCTGTAGATGACAGGTCTCTGATTTGTACTGGAAGTCTGAGGTGTACAGGGTGAAAAGGAATGGTGAGAGTACAGTCCCCTGTGGTGCTCCAATGTTACTGATCGCCTGGTTTGATGTGCAGTTCTTCAGCCTCACAAACTGTGGTCTGTTTGTCAGGTAGTCTTTAATCCAGGCGATAGTTGAGGCCCCCACCTGTGTCTTCTGGAGTTTCTGACAAAGTACATCAGGCTGGATTGTGTTAAATGCACTGGAGAAATCAAAGAACATGACCCTGACAGTGCTGCCTGCTTTGTCCAGATGACGGTGGGTTGGTTGAAGCAGTTGGATGATGGCATCTTCAACTCCAACTCCATGGTGATAAGCAAACTGCAGCGGGTCCTGATATGTTCCAGTTTGCTTATTCAGGTGGACCAACAGGAGTCTCTCCAGGACCTTCATGATGTGGGATGTCAGGGCAACCGGTCTGTAGTCATCATTGACTGATGGGCGAGTTTTCTTTGGAACTAGAACAAGGCAGGATGTCTTTCACAGGACTGGAACCTTCTCCTGGGCCTGGCTGAGGTTGAAGAGGTGCTGCAGAATCCCACAGAGCTGCTCTGCACAGGCCTTCAGTACTCTGGGGCTGACACCATCTGGACCTGCAGTCTTGTTCCTGTTCAGTCTCTCCAGCTGCCTCTTCACCTGACTTCTAGAGACAGATAGGTGGGAGGGGGAGGTAAATGGGGCAGCAGCATCTCCTGACTTGGTTGAAGACAGATTTATAAAACCAGAAGAGTCCATGACTGCGTTAGAGGAAAAAAGAGCTGGTGTGTGACAGGAAAATGTTGGATCAGAGGAGGATGGGATGTCTGATTGGCTGGGGACAGGTGAGGAGGATGCTGGGTTTGTTCCTGAACTGAACCTATTGAAGGACTTGTTCAGTTCATTGGCTGTGTCCAGGCTGCCATCTGTGCAATCCTTCCTCTTCTTGAAGCCTGTGATCTTCTTCATCCCTGACCAGACATCTCTGATATTGTTCCTCTGTAGTTTGTTCTCCAGCTTCTTCCTCCATGCCTCCTTGCTGTCTCTGATCTTGATCTTCAGTTGCTTCTGTATACTCCTCAATAATTCCCTGTCTCCCTCCTTGAAGGCTCTTTTTTCTCATTTAGCAGATTCTTCAGTTCACTAGTCATCCAGGGTTTGTTATTAGCGAAGCATCTCTCTGTTCTGGTGGGTATGATGTTGTCCACACAGAAGTTTATATAGTCAGTGACATGGCCAGTCATGGCACTGATGTCCTCTTCATATCCATGGCAGAGAGTCATCCAGTCTGTGGTCTCAAAACAACCCTGCTGTGACTTTTTCACACAGGGCAATGTAGGTTTGGATTTTGTTCTCTCCCTAAATAATAAAAACCATCATTTCAAAACTGCATTTTGTGTTTACTTGTGTTATCTTTGACTAATGGTTAAATGTGTTTGATGATCAGAAACATTTTGTGTGACAAACATGCAAAAGAATGAGAAATCAGGAAGGGGGGCAAATAGTTTTTCACACCACTGTATCTCACGCAATGTGAACAGGTGCCACTGAGTGGTGCTGCAGCGTTTTGACCAGATTTCTCTCCTTTGCTCCTACGATCCTGCAAAGGTGCTTGGGCAATATTCTGGATTTTATTGATGTGAGGAACTCTGTGAAGGTTCTAGTCATAGCCTTTGTCACAGGTATAATATTTCAGCTTCCTCCATACCTCCTTAGCTCCTCCTCCTCCTATCATCTTTTAACCATGATCACACAGGTCTTTCCTTTGTCTGCCCACAGGGAGGCGCCATCAGCACCTGCGGATCCGGGAGAACACTAAGGCAGGAGGAAAAGCCGGTTGTTTGTACCTGGTGGTGCTCCAGTGAACTTTGTGTTGTTGCTCTTCTATTCATGACCTTGTATTTATGAGGGAGGTGTGAACACGAACCCTGATGGGTTCTGCAGGTCCTGTCCTGTCCTCTGCAGGTGTGATGCTTTCTGAGGGTGGGGTTCGGGTCCTGCTCGGTTCTGCTCATCCATCAGTGTTCTGTGTAAAGTAACCAGAAGCAGAAACGTGACCACCAAGTTTAACAGAATACGAGTTCCTGTAGGAAAATGTTTTATACAATAAATGATTCTGAACCTGATTCTGGTGTGTACCTGGAGAAGCCGATCCACCTGGACCCATGAGGTTCTGCATCTGCTGCAGCAGCCTGCCTTTGTTCTGAGGACATTCGGTCAGAACACGCATGTGGCTGCAGCTCCAGTCCTCCAACATGCTTCAGTTCAGTCACTCCCTCACGTGTGTGTGTGTATGTGTGTGTGCGTGTGTGTGTGTGTGTGTGTGTGTATGTGTGTGATGGTGGTGGTGGTGGTGGTGGGGGGGCTAAAAATGGCGTCTAGTCAACAAAATGAAGGGACAACATGTCTTCAGTGAGCAGCAGGTCCAGCTGATCTGGAGCTGCTGAGGAACGCAGAGCTTCTGCTCTCCGCTCCATCAGCTCCACACCGGGGACAATAGATAGGGGGGGCTCCTGGCTGATGTGACTCCCCCTCCTCCCTCCCTCTCTCACTCCTTCTCCTCCCATTCCGACGAGTCTACAGGCTCGTCAAGCAGAGAAATAAACAGACTGGAGCTGTGAGGAGAGAGGACGGTCCTCCTCCCCTCCCCCTCTCTCTGTCCATCTTCATCCAGCCGTTCCCTTCATGGACCGGAATTATCCCGCTGCAGGATTTGGAGACCTGGGCGCCGGGACGGGATGGGTTTACGACAGATCGGCGAAGGCAAGGTAAGGTTCAGACCGGGCTGAGGAGCAGTGAGCTCGGCTCGGAACAATGCAGTGGTACCGAGCCGCCAGAACGGCTGCAGCCCCCGGTAGCGCAGCAGTCTCCGGTAGCCGTGAGGGTGTGGGACAGGTTAAGTGTGATCCGGTACGTAGAGGAGGGGGATGGGAGTGGGTTCTGGTAGAACATTAAAAATTAGATGCATTGTCTCCGCGGCACCTTTGTCTTGGTTTCGGACCGAACCGTAACAGGTCTGCCCCGCAGGTTGACAGGTACCGTTATCTGCTGGATGATTTAGCAGCTGGAGAAACGGCAGAACCGCTGATCCACTGCACAGCGGAACCATTTATCCTGGAAACAAACCGATGAGCAGCTCGTGACGTCTCCAGGTGTGTGGAGCGTCTCGCGCTGCACGCCGCGCGAGCGCGTTCCATTAGTAAACAAGACTCCAGAAGCATCACGTGAACGTCTGACTAGATCTAATTAAAGTTCAAATCGGGATGCTAACATTAGCCACAGCTGTGCTAACGTCGGAGCGCTCCCGGTCCAGGTGCCCGGTTTAACGGAGAACTCATCCGGAGAATTCCGGTCCTCCAGGTGTGTCCCAGCGGTTAGCGCCCGGCCTAACTGCGCAATTAGCGACAGACCGAGGTCAGACTTTCGCTATCTGCGCCTCTTCGGTTAGTGACCGGTGGGGTGTCCCACGACGTGTCCCTCCGGTCCAAAGTCCAAAAGAACCGCGGCCTCGAGTCAAGCTAAAGTTAGCTGCTGTTAGCATTGCTACCGTAGGGGTCGCCATGACAACCACATCAGCAGACTCCGGTGCTGCGCATACCTCCAGACCCACAGCGCGTGATCACAAAGTTATTAAAGTTCTGATCAGAACGGTTTTATTCCTCAGAACCCAGACTGGGACGGGCTGGTTCTGGTTCGGGTCTCAGGCTGAGGCTCTGATTCTGAAGTCCAGCCCGCACAAAACAAATGTAAAAAACAATAATGGGGGGAAATCTCCCATCAGTCTAGAAATGTCAGATTAAATTAGCAGTTCATCCATTTTTCTTTATTTGTTAACTTAGAAAAACGGAGATGACGTGAGGAGTGAATGGTTCTGAGGTTCTTCCTTATTTGGTCATTCGCGTAAACGTAGCTTTAACACTGAAGTCTTTTATTTTCTGTTACTTGCGTGTGTGCGCGCGCGCACGTCTGATAAGCTTCTGTTTAATTGTTTTGAAACAAACACACAAACAAACACACAAACAAACAAATCAAATTACTTTCTGACATGTACACAAGCTGTTCTGGGATAAACGTACCTGAGCTTTTGTCCCTGATAAATAATATAATTCATATTGGCTGAAATGACCTGATTCATTCCCAAACAGGGAACATTTTGACTGGACTGTTTAAAATACTTTAACATTTCTATTTGCATAAAAACATCCCATGAATGTTGCATCACTGCAGCAGAAACTACCAAACACTGAAGCAGGGGTATTCAATTCTGGCCTTGGAGGGCCAGTATCCAGCACGTTTTAGTGGTTTCTCTGCTCCAACACACTTGATGCTGTCACCTGTGCAGCAGCTCATCAGACTCTGCAGACACATGTCAATTGCCTGCTGATTAAAATCAGGTGTGTTGAAACAGAGTTAAAATTAAAACGTGCTGGATACTGGGCCCCCCAGGACCAGAAATGAATACCTCTGCACTAGAACAGCTGCAAACCACAGGAGAATAAAGACAAATACACGGGAGGTTTATGAGGAATTAAAGCACAGAGTCATTCTTTGCTGATTTCTAATTCTCTTTAGTCATAGTTGTTTTTGAATAACTTTATAAACCAATTGTTAGTAGACAGGCTAGGTTCCATCCATCCATCCATCCACCCACCCACCCACCTATCCATCCATCTATCCATCCATCCAGATTAAAGTCACACACAAGTTTGTGGTGGAATGTGTTCCTCCCCTTTGACCCATCCCCTCGGGATGTCTTTGGTATGACCTGACCATAGAGGTGGGAAAAATGATCGATTCTAAGATGCATCGTGATTCAGCCTTGCATGATTCTGCATCGATGCAGCAACGTGACATAATGAGATTTCTCCCTATGTCTATGTCTATGTCTATGTTCTGGACGTGCGAGGACAATAAAGTTTTGAGGTTTTACAATTACTTCCAGGGGCAGAGTTGCAATGACATGCACACTGCGTTGTCCAAGCAGCAATTTAAAACAGAAAAGGCGGACAGGGATACAGGGCCAACATTACCAGTAATCAAAGATGCACCCGTTACATTTAAATCGGATGTCTGGGCTAATTTCGGTTTTGGGATCCTGGATGTGAAAGAATCACTTAACACAGTATTTGTTTACTATTTTTAAGTTCAGTTGTATCTTAAAGCTGCTTTACTGAAAACATTATTTCTTATATTATTTAAGTAATTATAGGCAGCACACTTTAAAAATTGTTGCTCACTATAGTTCTGTTTTTCAGGGATATCGAAATAAAAAAGAAATTGAAAACTATTCTACTGCTTTTATTAAGTAATGAAAAATTTAGTGTGAAGAATCATGATGCATTTCAGACTCAAATCGAATCGTTAGACAGATAATTGGAATCAGATCAAATCGTGAGACAGGTAGAGATGCACACCACTACCTGACCGTGGATTTGAACCCACATCCTCCCAGTCTTATGGCAGATACTAGGTCCTCAAGGTAGACCACTAGACCATTGAGAGCAGCCTTAGCAGAGCCCCAGATTTCCCTGTCCTAAGCTACCTGGGCCAGCTCTTCTGGGGGAATCCCAAGGCGCTCTGTTTTAACGCCACAAATAACCGTTAGAAAAAGACTAGTACACCAAAAGACAAGATATCAGGAATACATAAGTGTGGAGTCATATACGAAATCCCATGCAAACTCTGCAGTAAAACCTACATAGGAGAAACCGGACGCCAGCTCAACACACAAACAATAGAACATAGAAAAAGAGTGTGAGAAAGAAACAAGTGGAAGACACACAAGAGCCACGAAACAAGAAGCAGAAAGTACAATAAAGAAACCACCCTTAACCTGTTTAACCCAAACACCCCCCAACTGGGGGCCTCTACAGTTCCATGTCCCAAACATCTACAGCTGTCCACATTCTCCAAACACAACTAAAACCACAACCAAACAGCTCAGATGGGAAAAAGGCCATTTTAAATTGTAATAAATTAAGATACAATGATGATTGAACTTCTCTGGTGTCTGCTGGAATAAACCCTTGAACAAATGTAGTTGAGGACCCCTGGAATAAATAAAACAATAGACTAAATTTCCTAAATGGAATTTGAACTCACAACCTCCATCCTGTCAGCACTTTCACACAGGGCAGCTCTTCTAAAATACAATTCAAGTATTATTTTATCTTAATATATCAAAAACCAAAAAATGCTTTGTTTACAATCGAAACTGGTTTGATTGTAGCTGTAGCTGTGCTCGGGGAACGCAAACAATCACTGACACTTGGGACATGAAACTCCAAAGGCCCCCGATTAGGAGGGGCCAGGGCCCAAAGAAAAAAGGCCTTGGGCCTGACCACTGCACAAGAAAAAATGATATAATGGATTGGAACAGCATAAGCGTCATAAACACCGAACAAAAATACAAAAGATGGATTAAGTAAACCATAAAAATAAGGAGACGTGGACACGGAACCATAAACAGAGACGATGGAGTATTCACATTGGATCACGCATGGGACTGTGTCATCGACTAGGAGAGCACGGGCAGCAGAGGGCGATACTGTCCTCTGCTGCCTGCGAATAAACAAGTGACGCCGTCAACAGTGGGAAGCTCTGAAGAAGACTGCAGGAGTAGTCAAAATGACAGCAATAAAAGGTAAAACAATCCTTTTCTGTGTTAAAAAAACCAAGTAATGCAGTTAGAAGAAACACAGAATGAATGCACAAAAGAAGACTGCCTCAAGTGTCTGCCTCACGGACTAAAGCTGGGAGCTGGTTCCACAAGAGAGGAGCCTGATAGCTAAAAGATCTGCCTCCCATCCTATTTTTAGATATTCTGGGAACCACCAGTAAACCTGCAGTCTGAGAGCGAAGTGCTCGGTTAGGAACGTATGGAACAATCAGGTCACTGATGTATGATGGAGCTTGATTATTAAGAGCTTTATATGTGAGAAGGAGGATCTTAAAATCTATTCTGAATTTAACAGGCAGCCAATGTAGGGAAGCTAAGACAGGAGAGATGTGGTCTCTCTTTTTAATTCTCATCAGAACTCTAGCTGCAGCAGCCTGGCCTTGCGAAGCGATGTCTTGCGAGGCCAGGCGCCTTGCTTACGTGGACACTGTCCTTCCTTGGTCAAAGTAAACGTTTAAATGGAACAGACTTACATCACATGACCGCAGCATCCACGGCGGTCACGTAACGTCACGTGACACGTGGGATAATGTTATATTTTATACATATAAGTTTTAATTTAAATATATACAGTGTTGGGCAAGTTACTTCAAAACTGTAATGCATTATTTATTCCATTTTACCCTCATTTTAAAGTAATTCATTACATTACAATATTACTGATTTTAAAATGTAAGGCATTACACTACTTTTGCATTACTTTAAGTTACTTTCACCAAAACAACTTCAATATGAATCTGGTAATCTGACGCTCAGTGAGCTCATGACATATATGTGGAAGGTGATGTGGTATCTGAGCTAGGGTTGCTGTTAAAACAGTCAGATATAATAACAGTGCTTTAAAATGATTGTTTATTATATAAAAGCAACAACAATCTGTACTCTCAGCACGCTGCCATCTTATATTAACTGAGCAGGGAGTGAGGTGGTGGGGGCTCCAAGCCTATATTTGCCATGGTCCCCAAATGCCTTGATACGGCCCTGGATGTGGGACTGACTTCTGGAGTGATCAGATTCTATCACATGTATAAATATTAAATGCTTGTATATTATTGCTTTTCACAGGTAAAAATGTGTATTGGGGATAAA